TATGAGTGTTGGTCTTCCTACACCAGTTGCGAGGGCGTTAATGATGAGAATCTTTGTGGGGGTGAGAAATAATAATGTTAATTTTAAATGCCCAGCGAAGCGGACGGGTACAGTATAATGTACTAGTTATACGAAACATAGACTAAACTAGACCATCCTTAGGCCGCTCGGGGCGAATTTAACGCGTTTGTGACTTCTTCAAAGTAAACAGCGCGGGTTAAGCTTGTTCCACAGTTGGTCCTTTGGTTTCTGTATTGTTTGGTCGGCGGGATAATCCGTCTGCGCTCGCCTTACTCTTGTTTTTATTGTTGTTCGACTGCAATACGTTTCTTGAAACTTTCAGTTTGTTGACTCGTTATATATATACTACGTCTTGAAGATGCCTCACAAATGTTTGTTTTATGGAGTTGCTTGTTACTGTTGCAGCTTGCAACGAATCTTAGAAAGCAGTCTGAGCTTGAATTTTATTTTTATTTTTCTGGCTGTCAAAGAAAAGAGGATGATGCTACTAAAAACGTGGGAATCCATAACAATTACTGCCAATAGTGATTAAGCATACTTACAAATGAAAATAAATCCTTACAAATAAAATAGCTTCCCTTCATAGATTATGTTCCGGTTTTTGAGCATTGTTCCTCAAGTACAGTATTTTTTTAGATTTCATTATTACAAAAAGAAAAAAAAACGTTATAATGCAAAGTCATTTTTATTTTATAAAAAAAAAAACAATTCCTTTACGTGTATGCCCCGTGTATGAGCGACAAATTAATATATGAAAAGCTTTCAAAATCTACGCCCACGTTAGAAAGAAAAACGTAGATTGTGAAAACATATTAAGCAAAGCAATTATATTATGTCTTCAACAAATAAATGTACCCGGAAATTTATGTTATAAAAATACAATTTAAGTACAAAAAAAATCTTAAATTATTACAAGACATAAATATAAAGTACCTTAAAATGAGTTCTAATTCTAATGGCATCCTGTTATCTCAGTCTACCCGCTACCACCATCTTGTCTGTTTCTTTCGCAAAGACATAATTCTTGTTTGTGGTCTGAATTTCAAGCCTGGAATAGATCGGGAAAAGTGAAATCTATGGGTAAAGCTTAATTGTTGTCAAATAATAGTTTGTACGCGCCGCTTGTTGTTAATGCTCTGCGGTGTGGTAGTGCCATCTCGTATGTTAAGAGAATATATTATATAATTATATACTAGTTGTACGACTTCAAATCAGACTTCCAATATTTCCAAGTGACCTCCAGTAACCGTCTAGAATGAAGCGGCCAAATTAATTATTATGGTCGCCTTAGCACAATTTTTATCTGAATTTATGTTTCTGTCATATTTCTAAGCAGCCAGACACATAGTTCAGAGCCAACGATTTTTTTTCTTCTTCTTATAGCACTAATTTTTATTGTAGTAATATATACTCTCAAAGCGTTTTCCTTCGATTATCACAGTAAGTATTTTTAAGACCATATCTGGAGAGGAAGATAAAGTCACGAACTATGACTGTGCGTGGTAATTGGGTGATTATCGGGGAGTACTTAAACTTAGAGAGGTCAAAGGTCAGATCAAAGTCTCAATTATAAAATAATAACAGCCACTGTCCTACTTTTCAAGCCGGAGTTTCCTAATGATGCTGAAATTAAAAATCAAACCTGCGGAGATCGATTTTATTAGACATGCCGTTTTTTATCTAAATTAAATTGTGGTCTGTTCTTCCGAATGTTGGTTCCTGCTGATATAATTAGATCACTTATAAGGTGCCGGTGTCAATGTCAGTGTCTGCCGTACAATAATTACAAAGGATAAACACGCAGTCAATGCAGGTGGTTGAATTTTCCTCTCCATTGATATCTGTAGCTGACCAGATAGCAAACTTTATTCTGAGAAGTATCTTTAGATGATTTGATATATTCGTGCTTTTTTTTTCCTGTCTTTCCCCGTTCATAGGCTCAACGGGATCTTATTATTCTATATTTTCTTATTCATACTAGTTCTCGCTTTTATGCCTCTCGTACTTTCAACCGTCATGCTACACGTGCATCCATCACCTTTCTTTCTTATCCGGGAAATTACTCCCACTACTTTATACTACTTGTAGCTATACTTCTTAGTTTAATCGGGTATATTCGTGCATTGCTCGAGACTATAATCAGAGGTTAAAACATAACGATCTACAATCATTCTTGCAACTTGTGTTTTCTCTGTGCCAGCTGTATTATTAGTCTGCTTGTTCTCTAAGCCATTAAAATTCTCCAAACAACTAAATATAGCTGTGCCCAGATTAGAAATCAATGGAATTGTAAACCGCGAGCTAACTCGAAGTAGACTAGATTATACAAAGCCGAAATCGAAGTCTAGAATAACAGTTGACTGTGAGTGCGGCTTGAATTCGATTACCCAAATAATAATTGACTTATAAACTTCACTACCTCACCACTAGCTTTGGTATTTTGTTATTGATTTAGTTATTTTTATTAATTGTATTATAACATATTTATTTTACTTTAGAATCCCAATCGTTTTTACGGTTTAGTCCATAGTTTCCATTATTTGCTTCGAAATCTCATATACTTAGGTTTCATAATAAATGAAATAAACGCGTCATTTAACACTTTTGTCATTACGTAATAGTAAAATGCAGACAAACGAAGGGCGCTTACCTAAGCAAACATGGATAATTTGAAACGATTTTTTAGAAAAAGGTTTTAAATAATGTACAAATAATTAATGAATAGGAAAAGTCTTCGAAAACAGTCCCTATTTTCCCAAAATATTTTTACATAAGCACCATTGATATTTAAGCATTTGAAGGTATTTTAAACGACGACTTTAATTCATATCATAGTGTCCACGGACTGAGATTGTAATGAGATAATATTGAGTGGTGTGAGAGCTAACTCTATTAGTCTTATGGTCTCGCATCGTCTATGCCAGAAATAAAATTGAAAATAAAATCCCAAGTTTCTCGTGTCAGCACTTTGAAACAGTCTACAGTCTGCTAACAACGTGTTAGTATTTTGTCGAGAAGAGCATCTTTTGTTTCTCGTCAGGGAGATATTAAGAGTCTGAGTTGAACAGCAGATTTTTTTATTTTTTATTTATTGCTTAAGATGGTTGGACGAGCTCACAGCCCACCTGGTGTCAAGTGGTTACTGGAGCCCATAGACATCTACATCTAGATCGTTGTTATACTGGTTTATACTTGTGGTAGGACGTCTTTTGAGTCCACGCGGGTAGGTATCAACACCCTGCCTATTTCTGCCGTGAAGCAGTATTGCGTTTCGGTTTGAAGGACGAGGCAGCACATATGCTATTTAAAGTGGAATCTTACAACTCATTTCTCAAGTTGGGTGGCGGTATTTGCGTTATAGATGCCTATGGGCTAGGGTAACCACTTAACACAAGGTGGGCCGTGAGGTCGTAAACCCGTTTAAGGAATAAAAAAAAAGATGGGTCGAATAGCTATTCATCTTTAAAAGTAAAAAAAACACATATGGTAAAAGTATTCCGGAAACTATTTTGAACCAAATAAGGCGATAACTCTTCTACTTAATAGCTATGACGAATTTTTCTTATTAATATAAATTAAAATTTTCTAAAATCGATTGAAAGTTAACGAATTATGTATCACAATCGTTTTAAAATAGGTGAACATATATGTTTGTTTGAATTTCATCTCCAGTTGCCAATAGAGTAACATTCTCACAAATTAATACGTGAAGCAAAAACTTTGTATCCCTTTTTACGAAAATTTCGCGGACAGAGTAGTATGAAATTTTCCACACTTAAAGAGACTATAGAGAAGAAGTGCACAATGCTAATATTTTTTTAAAATAATGCATAAAAGATACATTAAATCAATAAAGAAAACATTACACACACTACATACCATGTATTTGACGCACACACGCATGCATACTATTTATTGTCAAACCTTTGTTCTTGACGTCTGTTGTCAAATTGAGAATAGATTAAATATTGTTTGTCTGTATTCATATTTTTTTATAGTGTAGCCTTGGCGAAATTTGTGATTATAGAAGTATAAAATACAATCATAATAGTGTACAAACTTACAATTCCAATTAATTATAGTCGAATTTCGATTACTGCGGGACCTCTAGTTCTCACAAATACACGTGACCAACCGTAAGGACACAAACAATGCTTCGCCAATGTAACCCTCGTCGTAAATAACATACGACCGCGCCACTAACCCACCTGCTATAAAGTTTCTATGTTCCTACTTTTATTGGAAGGGACCTGAAATTTTTAAATATTCACACGCCGTCTACCGCATTGTTCAGTAAATGAGATTAAAAATCGGTTTTATGTAGACATCGTTTTGAACGAACACAGGCTGTGGTCGGTGATGTAAATATGATCAGGTAATAGTATTATTTTTATATTGCTAAGATGGTTGGATAGGCCCACCTAGTGTTAAGTGGTCACCGGAGCCATAAGATATCAACGACGTTAATGGCGACCCCCATCTTGAAACATGAGTTCCGATTTTCAGTTTTTACAGTTCAAGCCGAAACGCATTACTATAATACTTTACGGCAGAAATAAGCATGGTGGTGGTTCCTACCCGTGCGCGGTCATAAGGCGCCTTACTACCCGTAGAACAGAGACAGAAAGTAATTAAATAATGTAATAAAAAAGGATTGTGTGGTTTTATGAAACCACGCTAAAAGTGAAACTATTTTTCACATTATAGACATTTCACTCTGACAAACAACATTTACATTAAACACTGACAAAAACAAACAAAATAGCGTGGAGCACTGGCACAAATGAGTAACAGTTTATACACTACACGGTCAGCTGCTGCGAACTATAGGCGCCGCCATATTGGCCTTGGCTGCTCTGACGAGCGCCTTTCACTTTATCCCTACTCCGCGGCCGACCGTCACGCGACATGCAACACAAGGACGAAAAAGTTTGATGTATTAAAAGTTTCACTTTAATGTTATATAATATGTTATCTAGGTCGCCTGGATCCACATCGACCGCCAGATGATCCTGACCATCCATCGTCATGTCATCACTCGCCTGGCCCGGTTCAGCGTGTCGCATGACAACGCCATGACCTGGCTGCTCCACGTCAGCCAGGTCCAGCAAGAAGACAGAGGATATTACATGTGCCAAGTGAACACCAACCCTATGATCAGCCAAGTCGGATACCTTCAGGTTGTAGGTGAGTTTTATCACAATACCTTGCTATCTCTTTGTTGTTTAAAGCAAGTTTAAGCTACTTGTCTCTACTAATATATAAATCTACAGTGGTTTTTACTAATGTTCCGTTATAACTACTGAACCATGCATCAGATTGACTTTAAACTTGGTATCCACGTAGAAATAAATGTACTTAATGGATAGACTAATATTTATATGAGTGTTGGACTCCCTAATAAAGATGACAATATATAATAATGTTAATTTTAAATGCCCAGCGAAGCGGGCGAGTACGTCTAGTCTACATATATATATAAATGAATCTGCGTAATGTATGTACGTAACTTCAGAACGTCGGCAACAAATTGGATACTTCTTTTTTTGTTGTATTTGTATTATTATTATTTACTGATGGTAGGACCTCTTGTGAGTCCGCCCGGGTAGGTACCACCACCCTGTCTATTTCTGCCGTGAAGCAATAATGCGTTTCGGTTTGAAGGGTAGGGCAGCCTTTTTAACTATACTTGAGACCTTAGAACTTATATCTCAAGGTGGGTGGCGTATGCGGAATTGATTTCCGCATCTTCTATCAGAGGATTAGAAATATAATAATGTGCCCGAATGGCACAATACCAAATCTCAGTCGACTAAATCATGTAAAGACCTACATCAGCCGATGTCCAATACGAAACTTAAAAACTTGGTCTTTTTCAACAAATTATCTCGTCCTAATCCCATTTCTTTCCGATTACAGCTTAAAACATTTCAACCAATAAAAAATCAATTAGACAAAACCAAACCACTAATTTATACTAATTGTAAGTTATTTATTAGTCTAAAATAATAATTATCAAATTGAGTTCTCGATGCTCAGTGATCGGTTACAAAGTGCTGAACTGCCAGACGCTGTGTCTGGGTTATACCAAAATTCACTTTAAGACTATCTTGCGCCTTAAAATATAAACGAAACGAGTATATCTATACAAATAAATAAAATTAGAGTGTCTGTTTGTAATATTGAAATAACCGCTTTTTACTACATGCACATGAATATATATACGGTACATACACCAAAATAACATTTTTTACAATTTTTGTCTGTCTGTCTGTCTGTCTGTTTGTTCCGGCTAATCTCTGGAACGGCTGGACCGATTTTGACGGGACTTTCACTGACAGGTAGCTGATGATATAAGGAGTAACTTAAGCTACTTTTTTTAGACTAGCTTCGCTCCGCGACGTCACCCGCGGTACGACAATAACCGCGGGTAACATCGCGGGACTCAACTATCATCAATAATAAAATTTAATGTTTCCGAAGCGAAGCGAGGGCGGGTCGCTAGTATAATATAAATTTATGATTTTAAATACCTATCATGAAAATACTTTTACCTTAAAATTAAGATAATAAAGTAACGATTGCTTTTTTTATGTTCTTATTCAAATTGAAGCACTTAACTTTTCAATGAATTACAATATTCACTCGTTCTAGACACGTGAAAAGTTTCAAACAAAAGCTGGAGATTAATCTAAAGTTTTCTTTAAAACAACTCCACATTGTTTACTTAAAGCAACTTTCGTATTAATCATTTCGTTTCGAAACGAGACGTTAAAATAATACTTGTTTTCGCTGAATCCATTAGCACTCAATTACCAGCTTTTGTATTCAAGACTTATTTTGAGAAGTTCGTGATGTCAATTTTTTAGGAGTATTTTAACCTCCAAAATTAATGTAAAACTTTTTGTAAAAAATCAGAAATGTAAGGACAACGGCAGCTATGAAAACAATCTCGATCATTAGATGAATACATTTGAACTTTCAACATATTTCTCAAGATATATTTTATGAAAACACAAAACCACCAAACGTGATTTGAAAGCGCCGTGAAAGTCGCGAGACCTTTAAAACATCTCTAGATCGATTTTAATTACGTTGAAGCTTTAGAAATTCTTTCAAATGACATATTTAATATTTGGTTTAGACTGAAAATGAAACTTTCAGAATTCGTACACTTTGACGAAGTTTGTATTAAAATCTATTATTATTTCGGCAAGCCACCTGGGGCTGCGTAGCTGATGCTATTAGCCCAAGAGCCCGTGGGCTCTACCTGTATGTATTTGACCAGACCTGAATTTTCGTACATTGAGACCCCTATACCTACCATGCATGAGGTGGGGACTCACTAAGCTCAAAGTGGTCGACGCGCCGAGCGCTCAGGTAGGACAGGTACCGATTTTGATGGATTTTAAATCCATTTGACCACGTCTGCCGTTTTGAAATTTTGAAAATATATGATTATTATTATCGGAAAATAAGAATGGCAGACCATTATCGCGCATTTTACTTTGCGGCAGACCACTTTGAAAATGCTAAAAAAATAAAATTTTGAAAGTAATTGACCAGATCTGCCATTGATATAATAATATGTTGTTTATTATAGTCTTAAAAACTTATATTGATCACGGCAGACCTCTACATTGCGTACACACATCAACATATAATAAAATCTTAGCTACTACCCGGCCAGATGTATATTATGTTTTCCGTTCACTGTTTTAGAGGAATATNACATGAAATCGCCGCGGAAGAAATGGTATCTCCTAGCTCCGCAAGTACCTCCGCACAGCACGCTAACAAACAGATATCGCGGGTAGGTAATCCGCTGCCATTACAGCCGCGTAGCTACAATGTAAGTCCGAACAGTTTTGCGCCGGTAAAGCGATCGTTTGCCGCGAACGTGTCATCAGACCAAACTCGACCTACGACCCATGATAATAAGGTTCGAACTTGCTTGAAGTGTAACGGTTCACACATTTTGACAAAATGTGCAGAGTTTTTAAATCTTTCCCCGCAGGATAGGTATTCCCTTGTACAAAACAAAAGTGTTTGTTACAATTGTTTGAATGTCGGTCACGACGTAAAAAATTGCATTTCTAATTTTGTGTGTAGAACGTGTCATAAACGACATCATAGTTTATTACATTTTACGAATCAACCGGCTCCAGCGCTATCGTTTGCAAGCGAAACCAAACAACCTGTTGTTGTTCCGCTCACTCCTATGCAGGAGAAGCCGACTCCGATCGCGGTTCACGGAAATTGCGCATCTAACTTACCTCTCGCTCGCACTGGAACAGTGTTGTTATCGACAGCACTAGTGGATATTGTCATAGGTAATAATAATACGAAGATTTCCACTGTTGGATGCATGGTAGACACGGGGAGCCAGGCATCGTTTATTACCGAAGCTTGTGTGCAGCGCTTAGGTCTAGCGCGCCGGCATAGCAACGTGCCGGTGTTCGGTATTGGTGACACCGGACCCGTGCATCCAAAGGGTTTAGTTTCGTGTTCCATTGCGCCTAAAGGTCAACAACAACCTGTCATTCCAGTAAACGCGTTAATTTTGCCCGAATTAATTCCGAAAATGCCAAGTGTACCTTTACCTTATACCGGGTGGTCACATTTGAAAAATCTGAAGTTAGCTGATCCGGACTTTCATACGCCCCAGCCTGTGGAAATGTTACTAGGAGCGGATATACTATCCCACGTGTTACTAGGCAACACTGTCGTAGGCCCGCCGGGCACGCCCATCGCTATGAATAGTGTGTTCGGTTATTTACTTTTAGGCAAATTAGATTTAGATTCGTCTGTTCCAACTTCATTTCAAGTGTGTTTTAGCTCGTTTGACAACGACAACCTTCAGAGATTTTGGGAGCTGGAATCAGTACCAGAGAAACAGAGTTACACTCCAGATGAGGAGTTGTGCGAATCCTTTTTTCAAAAGACGCACACTCGTAATGCGGACGGGCGATACGTGGTCGCCCTCCCGTTTAAGCCCGACGCACCGCCTCTCGGCGAGTCGCCGTCTATTGCGCTAGCTCGGTTTCATAAACTAGAATATCGGTTAGAACGCAACCTCAAGTTGAAGGCTGATTACCACGCTTGTCTCCAGGAATATGTAGACCTCAACCACATGGAGCTCGTCGATGATCAACCTTCAGTTAGTAAAAGTTATTACATTCCGCACCACTGCGTGGTCAAAGAATCGAGTGAGTCGACGCCTACACGTGTGGTGTACGACGCCGGTTGTCTCTCAACTAGTGGGTATTCGCTCAGTGACGTTTTACTAACGGGTCCTAAGCTTCACCTGGACATAGTGGACGTCCTACTTAAATTTCGTGTCCATTCAATCGCGCTTACTGCCGACATAAAACAAATGTATCGTAATATACTTGTTCGTGAAAGTGACAAAGATTTTCAGCGTATTGTGTGGCGCACATCACCAGAGCAAACTATTCGTGACTACCGTTTGCGTACAGTCACATTCGGTGTGAAATCGTCACCTTACCTCGCTCTGCGTACAATAAAACAACTCGCTCAAGATGAGGCCGAGCGGTTCAAACTCGCGTCGCCCGTTTTACTTAACGATGTTTTCGTCGACGACGTCGTATCTGGCGAGGACTCTGAAGTCAGCGCACTCGCGCTACAACAAGAGCTGATAGGTATTTGTGGGGCGGCTGGGTTTGAATTGCGCAAATGGCACAGCAACTCGCCAGCGTTACTCGCTGCGGTGCTGCCATCAGAGTCTCATGGTGAGCGGCCGGAGAACGTTCTCTTCGCTGAAATGGAGATCGACAAAAAGGTTAAGGTTCTGGGCTTACAGTGGAACCCTAAATCTGATTCATTCAATTTTAAAGTCCAAGTTTCATCGATTAAGTGTACAAAGCGTGTCATTCTTTCAGAAATAGCAAAAATATACGACCCCCTCGGGCTATTATCACCGGTCACATTGTTTGCCAAACATTTGATTCAACTCTTATGGATAGCCAAAGTCGATTGGGATGAGACGCCGCCTGTTGACATAGTAAATTCGTGGTCTTCTTTCGTTGACGAGCTCCCACTCATCTCACAAATCTCATTTCCGCGTTATATATTTAACAATACCAATCCCGAACCGATACAAATTCACGGTTTTGCTGACGCTTCCGAGAAGGGTTTCGGAGCATGTGTATATATTCGTTACAAAG